TTTTTTGTAAAGGGGTGGGAGGGGTGGAAGGGAGGGAAGGGAAATGGGGAAAAAACAAGAACCAAGATATATCTTGTACAGGTGCAAATTCCCAATAATGAATGTTGTCATGTTTACCTAAAATGTACCAGTAAGCTTAATGAATAAAAAAACAGCAACAACAAAAAGAAGACATAAAAAACAAACGAATGAATGAATCATTTTAGTGTGCTGGAGTAAGAACTTTAAAACATAATGAAAAAGAATTAGGTGGGACCAGGGATTTAGCTCAGTGGTTCCGCCACCTGCCTTGCAAGACCAAGGACCTGAGTTCAATCCCTGGTACCAAAAAAAACCAAAAAAAACAGAAAAAGGAAAAGAATTAGGATGTGTTATGGACATGTACCAATGTGGGTTCGGTTAGAAACAAGAGGGAAAAATAGAATGAAATACCCCTGAAATTATCAATTTGTAGAAATGAATACAAATTGTATTAGTAAACAATAATTTTTAGTTATTTTCTTTTGGGATTTTGTTTTGTTTTGGAGACAGGGTCTCACTATGCTGGCCTTGAACTCACTGTGTGGTCCAACTGACCTTGAACTGAACTCCAAGTGATCCTCCTGCCTCAGCCTCCCAAGTGTTAGGGTTACAGGCATGTGCCACCACGCCCAGCTCAGCAGTGATTTTTAAAAGGACAAGAATACTTTTACATTCAGAAAGAAAAGTATGCAAGGTTTGATCAAAAAATACAGTGCATGTTTACAATTTTTAACTGTATTATAGTAAAAGTCATTGCCATTTATCCCCCTCAAAACACTGCCCCATGTTTGCTTATCCCATTATTTTTGCCATTTCTAAGCAATTCTAGAAGTTGTCTTTCATTAGTGTCTTCATGAGATATGATAAAAAATGTGGTGAATGTTGCTTCTGAGTGTCATCCAATGGAAAGTCAGGCTCAAATATGGTATTGTCATTATCTACTCTACCTTATTAACTGAATCTCACACCACGTGACTTCTGGCTCTTCCCTAAAGTCAAAATGACCATGAAAAGTAAATGTTTTGAATTGATTCAAGACAGCTACAACAGTTCAGCTAAAGACAAAAAAAAAAGGACTTTCCAACTGCTTCAGAAAGTGACAATGATGAGAAAAATATGTTCAAATGTGTCTGTTCAAAATAAAGGAGAGTATTTTGAGTGTTAATTTATGGCAATATGTCTTTTAGTATACTTTTTAAAAAACACTCTCTCTCTCTCTCTATGTGTGTGTGTGTGTGTGTGTGTGTGTTGTGTGTGATGTATATATATATATATATATAT